GACGGAGGGAATGGTCGGCTCAAGCAGCTCGGGCTCGCGCAGCTTGCACAAGAAGCGCAGGGTGGCACCACGAATGAACTCGTTGGGGTGCTGGAGGTCGTTTCGGAGGGCGTTGCTGAAGGTGGGGAGGGGTGCTGGCTTGTTAGCAGGTCAGAACGGGAGGCCCAGGCGTCCCCGCTCAGCCGAATTGAGTATGCTGGTGCTCGGCATCATCAAAACCATTCCAGCATCAGACATGTGACAGAGTGTGCGTGAGGCAGTCGAGAATGGTGGTGCTGCTTTCCGGGGGCATTGTCGTCGCTCACCAGACCAGGATCATCTCCTGCTTCAGCTTGCCATCTGGGTTGTGCTTGGGACAAATCTCCCAGTAGATCAGCAGCAGCTTCTTCAGCGCCTTGTTGCGCGAGGGCATGATGAATCGGATGACGTGCATCAACAGCGACTGCAGAGGGTCGCCGTTGAGCATGATCATCAGAATCTTCTTCATCGTCTCGATCTTGGCCTCGTCCTTTCCATTCTCCAGAGCGCTTTTCAGATCCTGGACCGAGGGCTGATCTCTGTCGTCTGCATCCGGGCGGGGGGAAGGGAAGAGTTCAGCGAGGCTATTGGGCTTGCCACACTAGATCACACGATACGGACACGCCGGCCGGGCTCTCGAGTTATCGCCCAGCCTCGTTAGCTCCAAGGTTTGGCAGGTGCGGCTGTGGGATAGGATAGACGCATGCTTGTGGGTCTGCAAGTGCATGGGTAAACGGGAGACCAGAGCTAGAAGATAGATTACCGTCTTGCTGTACGACCGTGTAGGAGATATTGTTGTCGGCCATGGCGAACGATTGCACCGGGGGGGGACAGAGCAGTGCGATGTGTATGCTGGTGTGAAGAGCAGCAACGAGCCAAAGCGGCAAAGATGGCGAAATCTTGGAATCTCCTCTGGCCAGGGCCGGATCGAAGCCAGGGCAAGCGCCGGATCGAGCCGAGAGAGCGAGAGCGAGAAGGGTGGAGAGCGAGCCGAGAGCGAGCCGAGAGCGAATCCTCTACAGGCACCATTGTTGCACAGCTCAAACGAGACGAGACACCCAAGCTGTGGGAGTACACTGGATTCAGGGGAAATGGGACACCTGCCCACAACCCATTTGTCGGTGTAGTATGTGATGTGCTTGCGTCTAACTATGCCATAGGAAATAGAACAGATCACTTTGGCAGCCTCCGAGTGAAGACCACCGGTCGCTCTCCCGGTCTCCACAATCGACCTGCACACTGGTCTCGGAGTATCAGCGGCGAATGGGCCAACACGACTGGAATGAGGTGGAGATGTGCGTGTATTCAGCTGCCCGCAGAGCGGGGTATCATTTTGGCCAGGAACAAGTCGTGAGAGTGGTGAGAGAAAGAGATGGGGAAAAGGAAGGAAGACGCAAAGCACAAAACGCAAAGCACAAAACGCAAAACGCAAAAGCAGCAGACTTGGCGGATATGCTTTGGTCTTAGACGGCAAGAGACGGCTTGGCAGGCTCGTTGGTCGTGACCACGGCCTCTGGTTCTTTGGTGGCATCTTTCTTGGGGTGGTGGTACTGCTTGACGCCCAGGGAGAGCAGCAGCGCAACGCCGATGAAGGGAATGACGTACTTGAGCGTGAGAGAGAATGCGCCCACAAAGGCATTAACGGCGATGGTGTGCAGGGCAGGGCTGGACTGGAGAGCAACGATCGCCTGAGGAGAGGCTTCGATCGCGGTGACCAGCTGGGGCGGGAGATTGGTACCCTGGAGCTGCGAAGTAATCTGGTTGTTGAAAATGGCACCAGTGATGGCAAGACCAAAGCAGCTATTGAAGAGGGCCAGCGATGAAGCGGGACGGGTGTGGAGCAAAGCGAAGCGACAAGGGTCAGTCTGTGGTTCCCCCGATTGAGACACCCGCCCTCCCAAAAGTCTGCATGGGCGGCATTGCTTCGCCTATGACGATAGCCCAGGCACACTCACCCTCCAAGGGTCTGGCAAAAGTTGACCAGCGAGGTTGCAATCGCAATCAGAGACTTGTTGACGCTGGCCTGGGCTGCGAGGACACGGATCTGGACAACCGAGCCGACGCCCATGCCGGTGATGAGCAGGAAGCCGATAAGGGCGCCGTTCGAGGAGTTTATGTCCAAGAGCGAGCACAAATACGTGCCAACGCCCATGAGGATGAAGCCAATGTAGAAAAAGTAGGTGTAGTAGCCGGTCTTGGAGACGAGGAGACCTGTAGGAAGCACGGAGATATATGGTTTGCATGGTCAGCGGCATGACTTGCAGCTTTGCGGATCATGGATAAGCGTGAAGGAGCATTATCAGACATCAGGGGGCATATGCCGCACGGCAGTATCAGCCAATCAACTTGTCCTTACCACTTCCAATACTACAGACAACGACACCAATGACGAGCGGGAACATGGCAATGCCCGAATCGGTGGCGCTCTTTCCAAGAGCCACCTGGAAAAAGGTTGGCAGGTAGAAGACGAGCGAGATGAAAGAGGCACCAAAGAAGGCAGCAAGGCCATAGATCAGGATGATGCTTCTGTTCACAAAGACCTTGGGAGGGACGACGGGCTCGACGGCAAACTTGACTTCGATGACGACAAAGGCGATGGCCAGGACACCGCCGACGATGAATAGGGCAATGGTCTGGGGGTCGTTCCAGTTCCAGACATTGCCGCCGGACTGAAGCGGCAACAGGATGCAGACGATGGCACCCATGAGCACGATGGAGCCGAGGTAGTCGATTCGCTTGAGCTTCTCGGTGATGGAACCCTTGGTGTGTGGGAAGTTGAGGAAGAGAAGAGCAGCGATGACGGTGATCAGGCCGACGGGCAGGTTGATGTAGAAACACCAGCGCCAGGTGAGGTGGTCGGTGACTGGGATGCGGGAGTGAGACGAGCGACATCATTGGCGGCAGGACCGAGAGGTCAGAGATGAGAGGCAGCAATTGTCAGTATGTGCTATAAAGCGGCATCAGGCGTGCAGACTGGGCTAGGCTGGGCTGCATCGAGTGGCATTGCTCCGTTCCGAGCATTCGACTGGACCCACTGGCCCATCCTTACACATGTACATGCTACTTACAGAGACCGCCAAGCAGAGGACCGATGACAGAAGCGAGGCCAAAGACAGCGCCGATCATGCCTTGGTACTTTCCACGGTCACGGAACTCGACGAGATCCGAGATGATGATCAGGACCAGATTGAAGATACCGCCACCACCAACACCGGCGATGGCGCGACCGACAATCAGCATGTCCAAGGTCTGTTGACAGCGGAAGCCAGGGAGATGTGGAGTGAGTATGGCGGCGACAAGGAGCGCTGGCCGCACCGGGATGTGCAAAGTGCTTGCGACTGCCAGCGCCGGGTCGGGGATAGATCGAGCTTACCGCTGCGGCACCGCAGATGGCGCTTCCAACCTCGAATGTGATGACAGCAAACAAGAAGGTGGAGCGACGGCCGAAGATATCAGAGAGCTTTCCGTATGTGGGCGAGAAGGCGGCCGTGGTGAGGAGGAAGGCCGTTCCGATCCATGGAATGCGCTGGAAGTCCGAGAACTCGGCGGCAATCTTGGGAATGGCTGTGGAGACGATGGTTTGGTCCAGGGCGGCGAGGAAGATGGCCAGGGCAAGGCTGGAGGAGGAGGGGCCGGGCGTACAGGCGGAGCTAATGTCAGTCCATGGTGTCTGTTGCAGTGCGCTGCACTGCACCGTGCATCCAGATGGATGCTGGCGATTGCATGATATGGGCCGTCGACCCGCTCGACTGGCCGGTACTTACCCAACAAAGACCAGGGCGAAGCGGGCGCCCTTCAGCTCGATAACTGGGTGCGCCTCGATTTCGTTTTCCTCGCTGGAGCCGGCCTGGGGCTCCTCGGGCTTGGGCTCGCCAAGGGTCACGACCGACGTTTCGGATGACTCGGGGTTGGCCGTGGTCATTGGGACTGGATGGGTGAGAGGGAATGCAATGCGAACTTGAGGATGCAGTTGGTGGATGGCAAGAGCCGAGGACGATCCTGCGGCGGTCTTGGGGGATTTTATCGTTCGCTCGGTCCTGCTGATCCCACGGACACCCCCGGCTTGGCTCGAAGTGGACACAGAGGACGCGTCGCCAGGCAGCGGGCCAATCGGCGGCGGAGATGCAGCCGCATGTTGAGCAAGCATGAGCCATCAGCACAAAAGCGTCTGTGCTGCTCTTGCTGCTCTTGCTGCCGTTGCATCCACGTTGCTCTTGCTGGCGCCTGTTGTTGCCTGGTCGTGACGCTGCCTGCTCCACCGTAATTGGCTGCCAGAATAAGCAAGGATCCAAGAGTATTTCCGCCACTCTGCAGCAACTCTGTATCGCGGATGTCACCAAGCAAAAGCTCCAGCTGGCGGAATAACCCGGCGGCCAGCGCCCGGAAGACTGAACCCTCTGGTCCCAGCGCGGCCGGCGCGGAGATTGGCTTTGAAATCGACGCTGGGCCTGGTTGTCACGGCTGCGTGGCTGCAAGGGCCTGACGGATCTCTTGGTCCGTGGAGGGAGCCGTTGCGCCAAGCGTCCTGATGCAGATGTTGCTGTGTCGCTTGTCGGCATCTGGACGAGGCAGGGGTCGACCGAGACACAGGGCAGCAACAGCGTCACCACGGAGATCGGTGCCGATGCGTGAGTGCCGAATGCACGGCAGGCGAGGCATCGAGTCTCGATCGATCGATCGGCCGACACGAGACCGACAACGAGGGTGCGGCTGGGGCAGCACCCTGCGTGGTCGGAAGGATCGGTGCTGTGGCAGGCGGGGGTCGCCTGCTGGGGTGTATACTCATAGGGATTGTGCCCAGCATGCAAGGGATCAACACGACCCGTCAGCCAAGTCACCATGACTCGCCAGTGCCGGATCATAGCATGCTATATTGTAACTTTTTTTTTTTCAATCCGCGATGCTGCGCCGGCCCCGGGGTTGCCAGAGCATCAGCGAGACCAGCGCATCATTCACAAGGACGCTGCACGGCGGAGGAAGAGAAGAGGTAACGAGCGGGGCATTTGGAGATGGATGAGTATCGAGTGTGTTGGCCCGTATGGTGGGCAAAGAGAGACGGGTTCCTTGTGGATGAATCAATACAGATTGGCGATAAGGGCCAAGCCTGAGAGTGCAGCCATAGCCACGGCACCCATGGGAACGGCGGCTCCAGCATCGCTGGTGGATGAAGAGGTGGGCGAGCTCGACACAGCGGCGCTGGAGGTCAGGGCGGCGCTTGTGCTCAGGGCAGTTCCAGAGGATGGAGCATCACTTCCAGTGGGGACTAGGAACGTAACGGTGGAGTTGCTAGAGGCATGTAGAATGCACAATTAGAGTCGTAAAGCAGGACAGGGACGCTCCTCGGACGCAATCATTAGAGAAGCCGGACGACTGACAATGAGCTGATCGCCAAGATACTTACGCTGGATAGCAGATGCCTCCGGCGTCGACAATCCGGCCCAGAACACACTTGAGCCCGCTATCGCACTGCGGAGGGTTGGCGATGAATCCGCCGCAGTGCTGGCCCACACCGACGGCAAGGACACCCGAAGCTGGCAGAAACGGCAATGGCGTGCAGATGTCAGCGAAAGAGATTATGTGCTGTGGCACTGGCTGCTGGCGGACAGCACGAACAGAGCGAGCGTACCGAGGAAGCCAGCGGCAAGAATAGACTTGATGAGCACCATGATGGACAGACGGAGACAACGGAGCGGGCGAGGACGGCGAGGACGGCGAGGAGATGGGCAGAGCGAGTGGGGAAGGAACGAACGAACGAAGGACGGAAGGAAGGACCAAAGGAAGGAACAGAGCCGCCTGCGAAAGGCCGGAGGCGAGGCAAGAGCGCGGTGCCGCCTCGCGCCTTGTGGCAGGAGGCACCTGTGGCGCAGCCCGCGAGAGCTGAGCGAGACGAGGCGTGTGGGGAAGCACCATCGATGCGGACCTGGAAGAATGACGCTGTCGCTGGGCGGGCGGGAGGCGGCTGGGGGGGGGTGATGTGGAGAGTGGAGAGAGTGATACGGGCTCAGATGCAGGCCGACAACCGAGGTACGGATGCAGACGGGATGGCTGCAGACGGCGGGCGCGAGCGGGACGGTGTTTGGCGAGAGCATCTGGCGAGAGCGTCTCGACCGACGCGGTTGGGGGCACATGAGCCCCTCGACAAGGACTGGGTTCCAGCACCGTCAGATGACTGAAAGCGCAAATGAATGAGGGATCAAATCAAATCGGCTCAAGACCTATATTCGCAGCATGCACTTTCGACTCCAACTCCAACTGCACGTTCGACCCGACTGCGAATTCACTTCGACCCGACTGCGATTGTAATTTCGACTGATTGCGGCTGCGATTGCAGCTCCAAGCTTGTTTCCATGACACTGATTCGATTCCGAGACCTCGCTTCACTTGTGTGGTCCATGGCACGACCGAGGGGATTTTGCGGTGGTTTGGTGGAGGGGGTATCCGATGCTGGAGCCAGCGATTCGCCCAGCCGACGGAGCGAGAAGAGGCTTGCTCCAGCTTCGCGCAGGCAGGCTCGCTCGCTCGCTCGCTCGCCGGCTGTGAAGTTAGATGGGGCGACAGACGCCGCCAGCATCGGGGATACGGCCCAGGGCGCATCGGAGACCAGAGTCGCACTGGGCAGCATTGCTGATGTGGCCGCCGCAGTGCTCGCCGACACCGGCAGCAAGGGCGCTTGAGGCAGCTGCGTCAAGCGACGAAGAGATGTTAGCAGGCCAGCAGCAAGCGTGCGCCTGCCATGCGAGCCGGCAGCGACAGCGCAACGATGTGTGCGAGCAGCATCACAGAGGTGCCAACGAGCGCGGGCGGCAGCGACAACGAACCAAGGAGAGCGGCAAGGGCGAGGTACTTGATTGCGTTCATCTCGGCGGCTGGCGGATGGCAGATGCGACGAGGCGGATGCGATGAGGAGACGGGGCGACGAGGCAGATGCGAGGCAGATGCGAGGCAGATGCGAGGCAGATGCGAGGCGGGTGGGGTATTTGTAGTCCCGCAGCCACCCACCCCCATGCATGTGCATCGCTCCGGCGAGCCAAGCGATGCTCGGTGGCGCACATCGAGGACCAGTCCTGCTGGAGCACCAAACCACTCTGGAAGTGCTTGCGGTCATGTGGCGGCCTCTGCTTGTGCGCTCTCGCCCGGAGCATCTCGGTGCCGTCTCGGCGCTGTCTCGGCACCGTCTCGGCGCTGTCTCGCCGCCCTCGCTCCTCTTTGTGTCATCGGGTTTGTTTGTCTGCCGTCGGTGTTCTTTTGTCTTTTTCAGTCAAGTCATCATCGCCATCTGACTCTGGTCTGCTTCTGACCTGCCTCTGGTCTGACCCTGGCCCCAGCCCAAAGCCCTGTCCTCTGCCGTCTGTCTGCGCTGTGATCGCCGTTGCAGAGCCCCTTCCCCGGTCGGCCCGAATCCGCTCTCCCACTTCCGCGCTGCTCCCCCCCCCGCTTGTCTCTCTCTCTGCCATCCGCACCAGCCGCCACGACTCTTGATGCGGCAACACTTCCCGGCCAGCCTGACCGACGGGGAAACGCAGATATAATCGCTGGGCTTTGACCACAGCTCGTCCAAGTTCGTATCCACCCACCGACACCCCGCTGTCTTCTGTATGCGCTCGCCGCTCCCGGCCCCCGGCTCGTTGGCCCTCGGGCAGTCCGGGGCTTGGCTGGCTGTCTGGCTGGCTGGCTGGGCTGCTTCTCGAATGGGCGATCTCTCCCTCGCACGAATCTCGCTTTCGCGGCTCCACGTTGCGCCGGACACCCGTAGTATCGATCTCGGCGGCCTCCTCACCTGTGTTCCTTACCTGTGTTTCTCTCTTGCACCTCTCTTGCACCTATTTGCACCTCTCTTGCACTTCGTCCTTCCTTCCAACCGCTCTGCAGCAACTTTGCCCTCGATCCCTGTTCGTCTCCAACCGTTTCTCCAGCCGCCATACTATGAGCGTTCCTACCGGCAACAGCGGCGAGATGAGTCCGCCCATCTCCGTGCCGCCATTCTTCCACCAGTGCGACACCAGCGACGTCCTGTCACTTGTCGTCGGAATGATGAATCGGCTCATAGCCCACAACGACGGAATACCGCTAACACACGACAACCTCACCCGATTCCACTCGCGGGCTGCTCCCAGGTGAGTGCTTGCCCCCCCCTCCTTCCTCTTCGAGCACAACGTTGCTGTCAAGGCACATCTATCCAAAGTCTTGCATTTCTTTGCGACCACTGCAGCTGAATCTCTGGTCGTCTTGGCCAGCCAAGCTCCGTCTCCGGAACCACAACTCTGTTGGGTCTCCTGTCACTCATTGCCTTTCGTCCTTTCTTTGCCTCGGATTCTGACAGCATATCCGTGCTCGACTACTTGCAACGAATTGTCCGATACGCCTCGATCGAAAAATCCGTGCTGCTGCTGCTACTGATCTATATCGACCGCATCTGCGAGATCCATCCATCTTTCACCATCTCGAGTCTGACATCACATCGGTACGGCGCCCGTGTGCCTGTCGCCGACGAGGAGCGCCATGTTGGCTGGATCGACTTTGGGCTGTCTTTCACAATCGTGATGGTTACCGAGCTCTCTGGGTTGTCGACATCCTCCTTCAGGCCGAGGCGTGGCAAGGTCCTGCTGCTCACCGTCCATGCATCCTTGGTCTCGCAGGTTTCTCATCTCGGCCATCACCGCCGGCAGCAAGGCGCTATCGGACATATACTGCACCAACACGCACTTTGCCAGGGTCGGCGGAGTTTCTGTTCAAGAACTCAATCTGCTGGAGCTCGAGGTGCGTGGTGCTCGCTCGCCCAAGCCTTGCGCTGTCCAAATGTGATCCTGTGCCTCTTCGAGTTGTCCTCGTTGGCTAATCTGGCTCGCTGCCGCATCCTTTCGGTGTGGGCAACTCTACTGCTCGGTTTCAACCATCCCTGCGCGGACTTGCGGCTTCGACTGGTCCAGTTTTGCCAGATGATCAACTGGCGCCTCTCGTGCTCGGTCGAACTGCTGCAGCAATACTACATCAACCTTGTGCGGACAAACCCCAACTTCACGCTGGCCACGGTCACTTACGACATGTCTCCGGCTGAACAGCTCTCGTCCTCTGTCTCGAGTCAGGACTCGCGGGAGCCACACTCGACCACTCCCGACCCTGCCTTCTCGCCCTCCCGAAACGCCACATCGGTGAATCCCAGTGTTCCCACCAGCACCATCGGCGGCTCGGGCAACTCGCGCAAGTCGACCCACTCTAATTTATCACACATCACCACGTCCTCGTCATACACGAATGGCTCGACGCACTCCAGCATGTCTGGTTACAGCGCCGAGTCCGAATCGGCCAATTCGGTATAATCGCTCGGTTGATCTCGCCTATGTCGTTACCTTTGCGATGGCCCCCGTCTCGCAAGGCTTCCCAATCTGCTGCCCTGATCCCATCCTCCCAACCCCGCTCCTCGTTGCTCCGTCTTGGTCCATGGCTTGCCTATGGACAAAACCAAGCCGTCTCCTTTGCCCATGTCCCATGCCCATGCCCGAGCTTCGCGTGAAATGCACCGCTCCTTGCCGCAGCCCATGTCGATTCTCGCACTCGGGTTCCTTGACCACCCACTGATCGCCCCATGCACCGGCCCTCCGCTTCCTGGCCACGTTCTGCCCAACCCCGCTCCTCGCCCACTAATATATCCTACAGCCATGGCGCTCTCTGATGCGTCGCCGTGAATCTGAGGACAACCACAACACCATCCACTGCCCATTCATCCACCCATCCGTTCATCCTTCCTTCCATCTCTCCGTCCTTCCGTCCGTCCACTCAGCCAACCCACCCTCCACTCCTGGCTGACCCCTCCCCTCCCCTCGATATCTCGCATGTTGGCAGCACCGGTGCTGTTTGCAAGTTGTCCTCGAAGCCACGGTGGAGACGCACTGAGACCTGGAGCTGTGCGAGCGAGCAACCGCACAATTCAAATGCTGCGACGACTGTGGGCTCGGTTGGGATAAATGGAACTGCTGCCCTCCAGAGAAGGTTGTCGCGGGTGTGTCCATGAGGATGTCCCCGAGCTGTTCCCCACAGCTCGAACGAGGCTACACCTGTTGCCCGTTTATTATTCGGCAAGGTGTCCCGGCCGAATGCCCGAGTATTGGACGAGCGAGCGATTTCCGCATATTCGCTCGTATATCAATTTTATTTGAATACAGCTTGTATCAATACGCTTACATGCACAACAGTGCTTCTAGGCCATGTTGCAGCATACGGAGGAATCACCGGGACTGGAGACTTCAGGGGTCGGGGTCGGGGGTCGGGGTCAGGGGGCGAGACAAGCGGACAGCTCGGGATGCGACAATTAGAGCTCGCAGTAGAGCACCTGTTCGCGTCCCAGGCTCACGGCATCCATAATGGATCCCATGCCGCCAGTGATCGACAAGACAGTGCTGGTTCCGGAGAATGACAGGTTCTCTGTCGACAGGATTTCGGAGAGCAGGTGGAGCAGAGTGATGTTAGTAGTTGCGCCAGGACTGTGGGATCGGGCCTGTCGAGTGGAGCAGCTGCAGCGGCCGAGCGGCTCCAGCATCCAAAAACAGAAACTCTCATGCGAAACTGGTTGAGCCCTGCGCGCTCGCAACATACCCTGCTTTCCGCCCGTGCGGTTGGCAAAGACCACGATCACGGTTTTGTCAGGAACCTCTCTGGTGCTGTCGATCACGGGTCGGAGTCGTTGTCCCCAAGCCTTGACGGTTCCGAAGGACGGATCTTCTTCTTCGAGACCTTCGTCCAGCTCTGTACGGGTCCACGCCATCGGGCAGAGAATCAGCTGCGAGCCGGAATCCGCCTGGAAGCGTGTAAAATCGCACATCCACCGGTTGGCCTCGAGCTGGTGCGTGCTCAGGTCCAGGGAGATTCCAAAGCCAACCTGAGGGAAATTCAAGGACGAGGGGATGTCCCGTGTTCGAATCGAGATATTTGTTAGAACGCTGGAGCGCGGGGTTAGGTTCGCTTCATGTGTTGCCATGAATGTCGGGGCGCATTTCGCCATTTGCATTCGTTCTTATAGTCCGCCACCGAACGCACACCAGGGCGCTGCCGATACTCACCCTGCCAAGCGACGGGACATCGAGGTACTTGAAGCCATCGCCTTGGTCGGCCCAGCCCTCGTCATTCTTGGAGAGAAGGTGCCTGTGGTAGGTAAACAAGAGCTCGCCGGTCGGGCCGACAAAGCAGGCGGCGTTGTAGAACTTTTCCTTGCCATCCTCCACTGCCAAGTTGTCGAGGGGGGATAGGGAAACGAGAGATAGGGGGTGGCAAGCAAAGAGCGTCGGTAAGCAAAAGAGCGTCGGTAAGCAAAGCGGTGTATGCACGCGAGGGGTGTTAGCACGCGAAGGGCGTTAGCACGCGAGGGGTATGAACGAAAGGGGGTCCCGTGCAAGACATTTCCCCCCCTCCTGCCTGCACTCTGCTTTTGGCAGCAACACTGCCGTCTGAGCCGGCTGCAGCGATGGGTTTTATTAGGCTGCTCGAAACCGCCTGGCGCCTCTGGATACGCACCGACAATTCGTGGGTAGCCAACCAGGACAAAAGTCTTGAGTCTGATAGCTGTTAGCAAGGGGTAAGTGGGCAACAAGGGAGACATCAGCAACCTGCGCGGCATCGATATAAAGAAAAGCACACCAAGAACCATGTGATGGCACAAGCACTTGACAGACGGCGAAGACACTCGAGCTCGAGGACGTCTGGTGACTATTGGACAGCAAGCTAGCTCCCCCCCCCTGTGCCGGCCGAGCTGGTCGGGGCAGGCAGGCAGGGAAACAGGGCAGGGCAGGACCGAGCGAGCTGCCAGCAGTCAAACTTACCCTGAGCCTTGGCCCACTGGACGGTCTCACCGGTTTCTCCGTCTTCTGCAAACGGGCGGATTTGTTCACGGTCTTTGAAGGTGTATCCGGTGAACCCCAACTCGGGCAGCACGAGCACATCGAGTTTATCATCTTCGCTGAGGTGGGCCAGCATCTGCGTGGCCTTGGCCATGTTTTGCTTGGGCTGACCGTGCTTGGGGTCGAACTGGAGACAGGAGACCTTCATCGGGACTGGGCTGTGAGGGGGGGGAGGAGCGACTGCTGTGGGGAGAGGATTTGGGAGGCAGACAGAGATCTGAGGGCTCAGGGGCAAGTGGTCGACGGGCAGTTGGGACCGAGACCAAGGGAAAGGACAGGGGGGAACGAGTCGCGAGCCAGTCAAGGCATGACAAGCCAGCCACCAAGCCGACCGAGAACGCACCGAGAGCGCACCGAGAGCGCGCCGAGAGCCACACTCCCGCGCTCTCGCTCCTCGCACTTATTTTTTCGATCGAGATTTTCGGCCATCGGTTTGCTCGCCTTTGCCTGTCTCCTCAGCCACAGCCAGCTCACCATCACCCACGGGCACGGGGCTCGTCCGCACCGCCGGCGCAATCCAAACCGCACCTCTCGCTCTGCACCGATCGTGTCGATCCTCCCCGTCTCTGGCACCTCTCTCGCTGCTGCATATCCAGGCCGTCAATGAAGGTTCGCCTTGGCTTGTGCAGTGACTGCAGGACTTGGCTGCTGGCTGGGTCGACCAGCCGTCTACTTGCTCCATCGGCGTGGCCGACAGCCGGACTTTTGCCTGGCCTGGAGATCGAGGCGGTGCCCGTTGCAAGCTTGCCCCGTTTGGTGTGCTAACGTTCGCTGTGGGGCGCTCGATCGGCCCGCTCCAACCCGCTGCCGTGCAGTTCGGAAAGTACATCCAGTCACAACAGTCAGAGTGGGGCGGCCCACACTACCTGAACTACAAGGCCCTCAAGAAGATCATTCCCGATGTCGATGAGTCGACCGAGCCCCACTTCACAACCTTGGCGGCATCGAATCCGCCGGGCACGGCACTTGCCCATCCCGACAATGAGCTGCAGGCCCTGAAGACACACTTTTTCTTCAAGCTCGAGCGAGAGCTCGAGAAGGTCGGCGAGCGTGTGTCCTTGCATGGGGTGCTCGGTGTGCGGCCCGCACGGATGCCCGGCTGGTAGTCGTAGCCGCTGCGATAGTGCTGCGATAGTGCAAGCGAGGCAGGAGAAGGCAGCATATGCGCGGGTCGTCACTGGACAGAGTTCAGTTGTTGTTCCCCCAGAAACCAGCGTCAGGCCGACTGACATCTGCCGATGGACATCACTGTTGGACAGGTCAACACCTTTTACCTGCAAAAGGAACGTGAGTTCAAGGTGCGGCTGAGAACCCTCGTCGAGAAGAAGCGGATCTTGGTCGAACGCAAGGGCCAGCCGAGCCAGGGCCTCGTCGACGGTCTGCGCGAGGCCTTCTTTCAGTTCCAGCACGACCTGACCAAGCTGCAGGTGAGGAAGCCGAAAGGCATGTGTGACTGCGGAATAGCCAGACGTCGCAGGGCGCCATGGCGCCTCGTTGGGCAGCGTCCGTGCTATCGGCGCAAAGCGCCGCCGGTGCGCTTCCTGCCGTGGTGTCTCGCAGTGGGGTCTTGCCGTGTGATGTTTGGCTGCCTGGCCTCCTCCGTCGAATCATGGCCTGCATTATGCTCGGCGGTACTTTGTCGTTGTTGGTTTGAAGCCCTTTGAGCTGCCCTGCTGCCTCGCTGCGCTCTAATCCAGCTCTGGACATACTAGAAATTCGTCGAGATCAATGCCACGGGCTTCCGGAAGATCCTGAAGAAGTTTGACAAGCGAGCAAAGTCAACAACCAAGGAACTGTATCTCTCGCGGCAGGTCGAGATCCAGCCATGCTTCAACAACGAGGTCCTGACAGAACTCTCGGATATTGCCACGGCCAACATTGCGGACCTGGATGCCATCACGGCCAGTGCCTCCGAGTCCGAAATTGCGACGCAGAATCCCCTGAAGAAGTATCCTGGCGAGACAGTCGTGCATGAGGACCTCGAGACCGAGTTTTCCAAGCTTGTTCTGAACGGGCGCACCGCCGAGGTACAAGAGTTCCTCGAGAAGCGCAAGAGCAACCCTGTGTTGCTGGAAGACACCCAGTTCCTCTCGCGTGTCTTCCTTGCCGTGTGCGCCGACGCCTCGATGGAGTGCTCCGATCTCTTGCTGGCGACGACGGAGGTCGACTGCAACCTCACCGACGATATCAGCGACCAGACCTCCCTCCATGAGTCTGCCTCGAGTGGCCGCCTGGACTTGCTCAAGCTCGTCACCACAAAATATGAAGGCAACATCAACGCCAAGGACGTCTATGGCCGCAAGCCCCTGCACTATGCTGCCATGCATGGCCACGAAGCATGCGCCCTGTTTCTGCTCGAATCAGGCACCAATGTCGATTCGCTCGACCACGACGGATGGACGCCGCTCATCCACGCCATTGCCGGTGGCCACACCAAGTCTGCTCAGATTCTGATCGACCACGATGCCACTATCGAGGCCAAGTCGGCGACATCGCCGATCCCGCTATCACTGGCGTGCGAGTATGGCCATAAGGACATTGTGGCACTGCTGCTTGCCAGGGGAGCGACGCTGTTGCCTAACGCCAATGGCCTCTCGCCTCTGCACCTGACCTCGCGCGAGGGCTTCCACGAGATCTCGGCTCTGCTCATCGCCCACGGCGCCGATGTCGAGGCTCGGGATGTCTTCAACGGCTGGACACCTGTCTTTTTCTCGGCGAGCGAGGGCCACCTCGATTGCGTCCGTGTGCTACTCGAGGCTGGCGCCAAGGTCAACGTTAAGGACGAGAACGACTGGCTTCCGTGGACGTTTGCGCTGCATCGGGGCCACATTAAGGTTGCCCAGCTGCTCGAGGTGCAAGCCTCGCAAACCGAAGCTGCAGAGCCCGTCAGCGCCACCCAGAGCAAGAAGATGCTTCCACCCGGTAGCACCAAGATGGTAGGCATCGGCAGCAAGACTCCCGGAAGCGGCTTCATCAACAAGGAACTGACGATGGACATTGAGATGGAAGACATCCCTGCGCTATCTCTGCCTCCGCCGATCATCCCGTTCAGGATCTAGTACGTACCCATCTGCACTGCACACTTTCATGGCGGGGGGCGGGTGTCTGCGCGCCAGTTTGTCTCTCGTGTTTCACAAGGGACATTTTTGTGGCAACGGCATCTTGGCTGTGGCTGCCGGCTTCGCTCGGCCAACTTGCTGCGGACTGACAGCTCGTTCCTCTCACATGGCCGCACCTGGGCTCTACAGCGGACATAATTACCTGGACAAAAAGTACCACCTGCGCATTCATTTTAAGAGCTTCTTGTCCAAGGGCAGCGGTGGCTCGCCGATCAATCTCTTTGGCTCCCGACAGCTCAGCTCGCTGAGAATGATGATCACAAGCAAGCCTGAGTGCTCGATCCCGTACAGCGTGATTCTCCCGCTCAAGGACGAGACCGAGAACTATTCGTTCATGGTCGATGACCTGTCCTCCTTCTCGCTCCAGTTCGATATCTTCCCAACCTTTGGCACCAAAGTTGTGGGACGAGCTGTGGCGCTCCCAAGCCAGCTTGAGCTCGCCATGCGACAGAGCGTGCACAACGGCAGCGAGTACCAGAAGTGCATTTGCCCGCTGTTTGATACGCATCTGCGTGTCGTGGGCGAGCTTGCCTTTGAGTTTGCTGTCGTCGGCGCATTCAGCCATCCGAGTCTGCAGATCGGCGGCAAAGTTGAAACCTACTGGAAGAGTACCAAGGTACGTATTGCAAGGGGGGGGTACAGGGGATCTGCTGCACGAACAATTTTGGTTGTAGCTGCAGCATCCCGGTTCGGTAAATGAGTTTCTTTGTGGGCTTATTGATGGCCTTGCAGAAATCGCGCTGGGGATCCATTGATAAAGCGGATGCCTGGCGCTCTCTCGTTCCGGGACACACATATGCTGCTGATCCGAGCCGAGGCCGTTACCTCTACGAGCCGCTTGAGCCCGCACTGACTTTGCCTTGATTGCCTCGCCTTGCCTTGTCTTTCCTTGGCCTGTCTCACCAGGTCGTCAACAACACAAAATCCGAGTCAGGCATCCAGTCGTTCATTACGGCCTCGTCGCTGGCAGAGGAGTACGTTCAGCTCACGGTGCAGATCACCAAGGACCTGATCCCGGTCGTCTATCCGACGTGGTTCCTTCCCTCGCCTTCGGAAGACTATCTCCTTGCCATTTCGAATGTCACTTACGCCAAGGCCCAGCGGATCTTCCGCCAGTTTTCGGGCACGTCTGCCGCCGCTGCTGCCACCGCCGGGGAGGGCTCGTCCAAACCTGCGTCCCCGCTCGACACACCCGGACTGGAGAAGCTGTCGAGCACGAACCTGGCCAAGTTGGTGCATAGCGATGTGCTAACTCTGGAGCATGTTCTGCAGGTGCGGCGCCGTGAGGATGTTGCATCTTGTTGTTGACGGTGGTGTGTCTACGAATGGGCTGCCCGACGGCCGTGAGTGGCGGATGTGCGCTCCGGCAGCAGTTGCTGCTGTCGCTGGATCGAGACTGACCTTGACCACCTTGCTTCCAGAAACTGCCACCATCTATCGGCGTGTCCATCAATGTCAAATACCCAACCATCAGCGAGATTCAAAGGTACCACGTGACGGAGCTGCTGGATGTCAACACCTTCGTCGACAACGTCCTTCAAAAGGTATACGACCACGCCAACCAGCGCTCGATCATCTTCTCGTCGTTCAACCCGGCTGTCTGCACATCGCTCAACTGGAAGCAGCCAAACTACGGTGTCTTTTTCGCGACCCGTTGCGGCTACCGCGACGACTCGAGTGTCTCGGCCGTCGGGGGCGTCACCGACCAGCAGCAGTTGGCCAGCAACGTTGACGAAGAGGAGGAAGACGAGATGGACATTCGCTGCCTGAGCATCAAGCAGGCCGTCAAGTTTGCCAAAAGCAGCAACTTCCTGGGCGTGATCTGCGAGGCTCGTCCATTGGTATGTATCTCTGTGTTCGCGCTTGAATTCTGCTCGCCGCAGACCTGCTGTGTCGGATGCGTTGATGCTGACGCCAAATTTTGACGTTGTTGCGCGACCCAGGTCCAGATTCCCATCCTGATCAACACCATCAAGGAAAGCGGCCTGATTCTGGCGACCTTCGGCAGCTGCAACAAGAGCCTGGACAATGTCCGGCAACAGGAAAAGAACAAGGTCGATGCCATCATCGTCGACAATGTCTTCCGATACAACGTTACGGCATAGTGCCCGCGCTGACGGCGCCATGTCTGTGCGCAGACTCGGTCTGCTCCGAGTTTGCCGCCTGCCTTCGAACTAATACACATCATTCCAATAAATAACGGGACACCTCGCATTTTGATCGTTGAACAAATATTTTGTCGCCTCAATACATCGCGCACTGGCCATGACCATTCAGTGATTTGGATCAAGGACGCCATTGTAGGCATCGCTCCTGCCCAAGGGCAGAACCTGACCCGGCGACGGCGAATCAAGCGACTCGATCTCCCCAGGAGACTCAGGTTCGCTCGGTATTTCGAGCAATTCATTCATGTGTGCTCGGTGAACGAGTTGATCACACTCCCACATCGCCTCAAGAGATCGACCGGGTGTATTCAAGACTGTGCTTCCCAAACCAACCAAAACAAAGAGATTGCCAACCAAGACAGGAGTGCAATGCCATGGCCTGCCCGCTGGGCCTACGGAAGTCAGAAAGTGTCTGACCCATTTCTTTCTGGATTAACTGTAATACACCATCTCGGCGCATGCTCCGTCGTCCTGTCCATGCAGTGATGCGAGGGTGAGTGAATGAGCGAGAACGAAAAAACGCGCTCTCGGAGCCACCTCGGTCGGCGAGAAGAGCAGTCTCTGGCGAGAGACCCCGAGGGAAGGCGAGAAGCCTCTCGCCGTCACACACACACACACACACACACTTTGCAAGGGAGTCAAACACCTCCCATCGACCATCCCAAGAGGGATGGCAACCCCGAAGTGGACTGCCCAGAATATGGGCGACCCGGCATCCACTGTCGACATACTCAAGGAACAAGATACTTACAGTCTATCCAGAAAGAAACGGGACAGTTCCTTCCTGGCTTCAGATGTCTGAAGCCCGCTGACTGACTGTAGGCCCAGCGGGTAGGCCATGGCATTGCACTCCTGTCTTCGTTGGCAATCGAGTGGTTTTGGTTGGTTTGGGAAGCACAGTCTTGAATACACCCGGTCGATCTCCTGTGACGATTATCGACTGGCATACCGAGATCATGTTCCTGGCTGCATCGATGTCTCGATCCCACAGCGTATGACAGCTTGCACAGCTCCGTACATAATGTGGTTTCTCGATATCAAGATGCTCGACCTTCTCGAGTCGCTTGAATTCCCGGCAGTGTGAGCATACCTGGGATGTGTTGAACTCGTTCACCGAGCACACATGGATCTTGGAGACGGATCGGTCTGGTGGTCGTCTCTGGTGGTGGTGGAACTGCTCAAAGTACTTGGCGAACCTGAGTCTCCTGGGACTGGAGGCATATCCCTTCCCTTGCTTCCAGGAGGCATTCCCAAAGGCAATCACCACTTCGGTCTCCTTTGGTGCCTGGTCGATGACTTGCTTGCACATCTCGTGGACAGTGCGCTGTCGCTTGCCGTAGAGATCGAGTCGCTTGAATCGCCGTCGCCGAGTCAGGCTGAAGTACAGCTGTTTGTCCAGCATGTCTCCATCGAACACATGGCGAATGTATCGCAGGAAGGAAGACACCCCGGGGATCTTGGGGCTCGGTGTGGTGCTCATCCATTCCTGCAGACCAAGGATCTTGTGGGTGCTCTGGATCCACTTGGTCGCCTGGGTGGTGTCTTTCGCTTGGGAGCCATCTTGTGACGAACCGGCGTGTTCGTCACATAGCGCGTGCACGCAGACTGAGCGACGCAGCGTGAGAACCTCGACCCGGTTCCCCGCACCGACTCTTGCTGGGCCCAAACTATATAAAGGCGCCATCCCCGTCGCCCGAGAGGCCCAGCAAGAGGAATCACCTGTATTCTCCGCCTTGCCCTGCGTCGTTCGCCAAATAAACGACCGTCTCCAGTCCCCGTCCCCCCGATCCCGTCCTGCTTCCGCCCTGCCGTCGCCTCGCTTCCGTCCTGCCTTCGCTCGAGCCTCGCCCGCCGTTCCGTCCTCTCCAGCCCTGCCCGTCCGTGACATTTGATTCCTCTCCTTACCCTGCCTGCCATGGCCGACGCTCCTCTCCGCCTCCCTGACCCATTTGACGGCAACCGTCGTCGCTTCCGTTCCTTCCTGACCCAAGTCAAGATCATCCTGTCCATCCACGAGGCCCGCTACCCCACGGACCGTCACCGGGTGGGCCTTGTGGGCACATTGCTCGCCGGACCACCCGCAGACTGGTTCGCCAGCCTCGTTGCAACGGAGAGCCCCGCCATCCAAGATTTTGCCTGTAACGTCCACTACTGGGACGTTGGGGCAAGACGGGGAGGGAGGGGGTACAAGACAAGACAGGACGGGGCAGAACAGGGCGGTGCTAGGCTACTCTAGCGGACGGGTGAGCTCGGGGAGCACTTACGTTTATTCACGATAAAACCGAACTCCAGACAAACGGGGGGAACGGGGGCAACCCGCAGGTATACCCTGCGGTGGCCTGCCTGCGGTGCGTGAAAACGCAAAGCGCAGCACAGGTCACGACCCACTGCGCCGCGCAGTACGCGCAGTACGCGCAGCACAGCGTCGGAGATACCATCTCCTACACTCCCACACTTAAGAAGGCTTCCTGCGAGGAGCCCTGCGTGTGCTCTTTATTTGGGGCTCCTCGAGGTGTTTACCGTATTTACTCAGCTCCTCGGGTGCATGGGACAAGTCCTCCAGTGTTTGCCATGTGTTGCCCGAGTGTGGGTAACCAACCCACTTGACATAAAACCGAAGTGACCCATCAGCCACTTTCTTGTGCCTCACGATCCTTTCGACTTCATATTCTTGAGTATAGTATTGTCCGAGGTCGTCTTCCAGTGGTGCGTCGTCCGGGACACCTTCGTCGGCGTCGGGGAACTGTGCTGGACTGCGGGTCGTGTGGCGACGCAGCTTGGACACATGGAAGACAGGATGGAGCTTGCTTCCAGGTGGCAAGTCCAACAGGTAGTTGAGGGGACTGGGTCGGGCCGCTATCTTGAACGGTCCTCGGTACTTGGGCAACAACTTCTTTGACTGGGCTTCGGGGACCTTGATGTTGTCGGCGTCCAGGTAGACAAGGTCTCCAACTTCAAAGGAGACATCCTGGTGTCGGCGGTCGTAGTACTTCGCCATCACTTGTTGCGCATCCGTGAGCGCGTCGGCGATCATCTTGTGTCGGACTTGATGATCTTTGACAAAGGCACTTGGTTTGGGAGGCAATCCAGCCGTGGACTCGGTCAGTGTCAAGGAGGTGGGAACATCAGGCTGGAATCCGTAGAGCGCCTCAAAGGGGCTCAAGCCAGTTGTGCTCGACTTGGCGGTGTTGTATGCAAACTCTGCATGACTCAGCTGTATGTCCCAGTCGTCTTGGCTGGTCGAGGCGTATGTCCTCAGGTATTGCTCGAGGGTGCGGATCGTCCGCTCGGACTGTCCATCCGTTTGTTGGTGGTGCGAGGTTGACATGTTCAGCTTGGTGCCGAGATGGTCGAACAGACTTGTCCAAAACAAGGAGGTGAATCGGGGGTCTCGATCACTGACGATGGACTTTGGGAGGCCGTGGTGCTTGAACACATGCTTGAAGAACAGCAGTGCAAGGTCAGGCGCGGAGCATGTCGTCTGGCACGGCACAAAGTGTGCCATCTTGCTGAACCTGTCGACAAAGACAGCGATTGCATCGTGGTCCAACTTGGTCGTCGGTAGATGCGTGATGAGATCCATGGACATGCTGGTCCAGGGGCGGTCGGGAACAGGCAGGGGTTGCAGCAATCCTTGCTCTCGGGTCGTGCGTGACTTGACCATCTTGCAGGTATGGCAGGACTCGATGTACTTCTCGACGGTGCGCTTCATTCCAGGCCAGTATGCGACTTTGGCCAGTCGGTCGTATGTCTTCTCGACTCCAAAGTGTCCAGCGAGGGGCGAGTCGTGGACCTCTTGGAGCAACTTGGTCTTCAACGACGGAATGTCCGGCACACAGACACGGCTGTCCTTCTTCAGGAGGAGCAGGCCATCACGCACTGTGTACTCGGATGATTCGTCGTCCTTGGGGAGCTTAGACACCTTTCGGAACAGTTCTCCGAACTGTTTGTCGTTGGCGATGTTGTCTCGGACAACATCCAGCATCGTGTTGTCGACACTGACAGTCGACTCGTACAGTGACGCCAATTGGTAGTCGGGGCGTCGGGACAGTGCGTCAGGCACCACATTGAGTTTGCCTTTCTGGTATACAACCTCGTAGTTGTACTCGGCGAGGAACTCCATCCATCGCGCTTGGCGTCGGCTCAGGTTCTTCTTGGTGTCGAGGTAACGCAGTGACTGGTGGTCCGTCACAATCTTGAAGGGCTTGGCGGTACCGTGGAGGTACACTCGGAACTTCTGCAGCGCGTAGATGATCGCAAGCTGCTCCTTCTCGTGCACGGGATAGTTGATCTCGTGTTGGGACAGTTTGCGCGACTCGAAGGCAACGGGCCTTCCCTCCTGCATCAAAACAGCTCCCACCGCAAAGTCGGAGGCGTCGGTGTGCACGGAGACATCCGTGTTCGGGTCGAACACAGCGAGGACAGGAGCGTTCGTCAAGGCGTGCTTGAGGGTCTCGAACGCTTGGCGTTGTGGGTGGTCCCACACGAAGGGGCACTCTTTGCGGAGTAGGTCTGTGAGTGGACCGGCAGTGCGCGCCAGATCGGGGATGAATCGGCGGTAGTAGTTGACGAGACCGAGAAACGACTGCACGTCAGAGACGCATGCGAGCGGCGGCCACTCGACCACAGACTTGACCTTGGCGGGGTCGACTTCGATTCCTCTTCCTGAGACAACGTGTCCCAGGAACGGGACTTGATTCTTGAAGAACTCACACTTGGACAGTTTGGCATACAACTTGTGCTCGCGTAGCTTGGCCAGCACGCGGGCGACATGACCTTCATGGGTCGCTTCATCCTTGCTGTACACAAGGATATCATCCAGGTACACGATGACAGAGTTGTCGAGCTCTTGGCGGAACACATCGTTCATCAGCTGCATGAACGTGGCAGGTGCGTTCGTCAATCCGAACGGCAGCACTAGGAACTCGTACAGTCCGTAGCGAGTCCTGAAGGCGGTCTTGTGGACATCATCCTCGTGGATGCGGATCTGATGGTAGCCTGAGCGGAGGTCTATCTTGCTAAAGACCTTTGCTCCACTCAGACGATCCATCAACTCGTCGATCCTGGGCAACGGGTGTAGGAGATGGTATCTCCGACGCTGTGCTGCGCGTACTGCGCGTACTGCGCGGCGCAGTGGGTCGTGACCTGTGCTGCGCTTTGCGTTTTCACGCACCGC